TAATTTCAGCCAATGTAAATATAAATAGCTACCAGTGGTTAGTGCTAGTGCTACCATATTAAACAGCTCAGATCAGTGGTTTTGGTTACCTTTAAGATTTGCAGCCAATTAAATCAATTTTACCTCATAGTCTCATTAATTTAGGTCATGGCCCAGAACATCACATCATTTGGTCATGTAACGTGTCTCACATTCATTTCTTCACCATATAGTTCTGTTATTCCCCTGCATTAACCAAACTGTTCTTACTCTTTCTCTCCTTCAAAAAGTACTCCACTGTGCTCTCTAAAATTCTCTTCCAAGATACATTAATATTTCAAAACCTAAGATGCTTTACTGAATCCTCCTTTCCATCTTGGCTTAGCTGCAATTTGGATCCTTCAAGATACTAATGCCCTTGGAACTCTTTCAATTGGAAGGTGCTCATTCTTTCAGATCCCATATACATTAGGGTCAGGAGAAGGTGTTGGTACTTCTAGGTTTACCCAACCCTGCAACTTCAGGTGATCATTCCTATCATTCCTCCATCATCCTATGAAAACTTCAGCTGCTTTCTCACAAGATGTCCTGCTCTCTACTTACTCATGGTAGAAGCAAGCCACCAACTTCCCAATAACTCCGCAAAATGCATTGGGAATTTAAGCATGTGGCCCGCAGACATCTATCAAATGTACACCTAAGCAATCTCCACATAACTTTTGTTCTAATCTATTTTTTTTCTTGTTTCTTGAATTCACTATAGTCTCTCACTCCCACACCCACATCAGATCCTTGTCCAACCAGAACATTCTTTCAATTATTCCCACTATGCTTGTCCTTTGACCTCACAGGACACTCTAATCCCTTGACTTCTCCCTCCCTATCCCTACCCTTCTGCCCACCCAACCCCAATCTTGACTTTCTTATCCATTCAGTTAAGACTTCACAATCGTCACTTCAACCACTTTCCTACCAATATCTTCAACTGTCCTACCCTCCTATTCTATAGCAGCTGCCTAGCTAAAGACTAACACAGAACTGATCCAACTCCATAATTCATTTAGTAAGTATTTATTCAAAGTGCTTGGCATCTTCCCAGGAGCTGGATATATAATCAAAAAACAATAGGTAATCCAAGTTCAGAGAGGAAAAGGACTAGAACTCAAATCTGTTTGACTCCAGATCCCCAACTCTCCAGTCCTTTCTCCAGTGGATTTCAAATTTTATCTAATTTCATTAAAATGTGACCACACTATTTCCCACTCTTTTAAACAGATGATGTCATCACCAACCTCTCAACTTCCAGGCATTATGCCTACAAACATAAAAGCTTCTATACACATTCACTCTTCCTCCCCTCATCCATTCTTCCTCCTCTCCTAACACAAAGGAAAAGGGTATTCCTCCTTTCAAAGGCTGATCCATTTGCATTATATTCCTACCTTCTCAGAAGTCTCTATGTATTTTGTCCCTCAACAATATATTCATATTTTAGCCCGCAGCTTTGTCAAAAATTACTTCTATAACACCCTTTGGTCATTATTCCTCAAATGCCCACCCACCCTCCACCTCAGTTACTAGTAATCTTTCTGTATATTTCCCAAGACTGTAAGCTCCATTCAGCAGTTAACTGTTTTTTATTTTGTTCACAACTGTATGCTCAATCCTTAGTACAGTATATATATAGCACATAATCGGCATGTAGAACATATACTGAATAAACAAATAACCATGATTACAATCATCCTTATCATTTTTCCAGCCAATAATAATTTTAAAATTTGAAAACAATTCAAAATAAAATTAATGACAATTACATCCCAGGGAATACAAAAAGACATACCTCCAGTTCATTTTCCAGTTTCATTACTTTAGTTTTTAATTGATTTTCTATTTAAAAAAAAAAAAAAAAAGACAAATGTTTTAATTGATTAGTTACCACAAAACAAACTTTCAAATAAATTTTAATAACAAAATTAATTATTTTAAAAGAGTTCATCATGATTATAAGGTAACAAAAAGTGTTATATGGCAGATCCATAAAACAGGAGTCTAGAAATACGTATTATTAAATGTTATATATTAAAAATAAATTGTATACAGTTTACAGAATATAATTTAATTTTCTACAGCTTAATGAACAAATGGAATTCATTATTTAATAACATAATAAACTTTTTCCAAGGTGCTTACCAAATTTTGCTTGTTCTTCTCCAGCTTTTTCTACTTCTTCCAAAGCCAGCTCTACTTCTTGAGCTTTCATCTAAACATTAAAAGAAAGGTTATTTCAATATGCCTTTAAACTGGAATGTAAGCACTGAAAATAAAAATTTTGTTTTATTTATTATGCTCATTAGTGCCAACAATGGCTGGCACATGGAGACTTTCAGTAAATATTTGAATAAATAAATAATTTTTTCTCTCCTTTTTTTTTGCTTTTGAGATAGGGACTCACTTTGTCATCCAGGCTGGAGTGCAGTGGCACAATCTCAGCTCACTGCAACCTCTGCCTCCCGGGCTCAAGCAATCTTCCCATTTCAGTCTCCTGAGTAGCTGGGACTACAGGTGCATGCCATTATGCTTGGCGTGCCATCATGCTCGGCGTGCCATCATGCTTGGTGTGCCATCATGCTCAGCAAATTTTTTCGTAGAGGCAAAGTCTCACTATATTGCCCAGACTGGTCTCCAACTCCCAGCCTCAGGCAATCCTCCTGCCTTGGCCTCCCAAAGTGCTGGGATTACAGACGTGAGCCACCATGCCAGGCAATTTTCTTACTTAAGACTACAATTTCTAGATTTGTAATAGCATGAAACATTTTTGATTCTCCCTTTTACTTCAAGTCCTCAAGTCTTATATCCAGTAAAGCAACATATCTCTTTGTAATGTTTTTCCACTACTTTTTTTCTATTCCAATTGCTATTATTCTAATGCATAATTTCAGGTTTAAAGTCCTCTATAATGTGATGTTTGCAAAGCTCCGATTTCCTTCAGTTTGTCCTATATAATATACTCAGTTTTGCTTTCCTAAGGCATGTTTTTGTACCTATCAATTGTGGTTCGAAAACTTTCATTGCCTTCTCAATTGCTGACAGCATAAAATACACCTTTAATGCCCTCAACAACCTATCTTAAAGTACCTACCCAAGATTGGTTTTCTCTACAGCCTGATACAAACTTGCTGCACCGCATTTCCTCAAATGTAAAGAATAAACATATTTCCTATCTTCAGTATTTATTTATGGTAACCAACAGCTCTAGAATTCCCTTACTATCTTACCACTGCATTACCTTCCACTTACCTAAAACTACTCCTCAGTATTCATCCTCTGTGAAGTCTTCTGACACCTCTTAGATCACTTCCCCTCTTAACAAATCTCTATAGCAGTCATTGTCTGCATTTGTCATTTGGACCTCAGGATATATTTCCTTATGTTATTTTTCAACATACTCATTCTATTTCCCCTACATACCCTTTTAGAAACTTTAAGTAGAAACTAGCAATGTTTTACACACTAAAATACTTAATCCACATTTAAATATATTGCATTTTTGAGGGGTGATGTAGATATTACCAAGTATTTTCACAAAGATTACTTTATATAAGAACAGATTTTTATAGTTCCTCTAATAGCCAAACCTATCGTTAAAACCTACTACATACAAACCTTCATTAGTGACTGAGTAATTCTGAAAAGGTGTATCACATTTTCTTGCTTTTCACTTTTTAGCTCATTTACTTCCACCTAAGTAAACAGAAAAGCAACTGTTTTATATTTTATAACCTTTAAGCAAAATATAAGAACTCTTCCAGATTGTGACAATAGTTGTTCCTGAAACAAAAATTCATATTTTATTAATAAATTAATCATAAGTTAATGTATATATCTATTATTATTGACCAAGTAAGCACCTTGGATAAGGAAATCAATAAATTATCTGCCAGTTCTTCTTGACGGGGCAGGTCATCTGGGTCAACTTTCATTATTTCTTTCCAGTTTATATTAGGTGGCATCTTGAATTCTTTCACTGTGCTCCACCTCTGTAACAAAACAGGTGGATATTAGCATTTTCAAGGTACACAGTATTATTGGTTTTCTAATAGCTTACATTTTTTGCAGATTATTTCATTATAACTTTCTGATGTTAGCAAAGAACTATGCCTTAGCCACAAAACAGACAAGTGGGCAAAATGGCCTTGATCAAAAACAGCAGTCGGCACAAACCGTCAGAGAGTGTACTGGCTAAATAAAATGTGACGGCTTCCTTGCTAACACTAATCTAAGTTAGGACTAAGATTTCTGGGTCCCTTCCTCCACACCGCCTACCCACAACGCGCACGAACACCCTAATCCTGGCAAGCGCGAGGTCTGTGGAAGGCTGACAATGATCCTTGATTTGGAGAAGCAGAATTGGGGCTGGGAAAAAAAAAAAAAAAAGCAGAAATTAACAATTGGAACGAGTGAAGTTGTGCGGCGGAAACCGGAACCGAAGTAAAGCAGGATTACGGACCCAAGGCTGGAAGGGGCGGGGTAGCTAAGCTGCGGCACACGGGCCCTGAGGCTAAAGAACCTGAGCGTGGAGTGACTCGCTGATACTGCTTACAGGGATCCACCCACCTACACCAAGCCTGGCAACCAGCGGAGGTCCCTCACTACCGCAACCACCAAGCTGGACAGATCCCTATCGCGGCTCCACACGGACTCTGGGTCCAGCCAAATGGTCCCGAGAAAGCCAAAGAGGCAGCGGCTGCTAGGCGACACGATCCCTAACTCCTCCGGGGCCAGAATAAGATCCCGGATGCAAAGAGAGCCTACAATTCACGACCGTGAGTGATGCTTTACGTTTAGATTCTCCGTCGGAGTCCCAGGACTCGGTGTTCAGGATGATGAGAAGGCATGGAACGAGGACTCCAAATCCCAGAATGCAGGTGTGCCTGAGGTTTGTGAATGCTGGGAACTGAAGTCCCTGAGAAGAGGAGGTAAGGCGCTCCCGGCGTGCAACGCGGAAGGCTGCGACGGTACCGGGGCGGCGGGGAAGGAACGAGAGGCGGGAGGCGCAGTGGCTGAGGCGCCTACGAGCTGGTGGCCTGAACGAGGTAGACCATGACTGTGGCTTTAGTGGCGTCACTCGCAGGGCCGCTCTTCATGAGGTTCTCCTAAGCCATCCCCTGGCGGAACCGCTTCCAGGTGAGGTCGAGCTGTCGGTCAGCGTATTAGGAGGAGTTGAGGGGAGCAGTCCTGGGTTAGAGAAGCTTCTGCTATTGGGGCCGTAGGGCCTGGCCCCATTCTGAAAAAGTGGAAACACCCTGCTTTCTCTTCAGGCGTTTGCAGGCGGCGTCCAGGGTAGTGCCTTCTGTAAGAAGGAAAAAACAAAAAGTTTTAGCCTTGTTTAGTATCAGAATCTGTCTTGGTATAGTGAGAGCCGCGCAGCCGTGATCCTCGTTTGGGGGCGAGCGAAGAATTGACAAGAGGTCTCGGCATCCTCTGACCCCGCCCGCCTTACCTGTAGCACCATTCCCTTCGCGGATGGTGGGACTTGATGGTTGTGGAGCTACTATAACCTCTCATCTAGAGAGGAGAGGTTAGTACTTGTCCGGGCCACTGCCGGGGGTGGAGAGAGAAGGGACTCGAGGACTCACCTGTACTATTGTCACTTGCTTGGTTACCTAGGGTGTCCATCCATGAAAGCGCCTTCTCTGGTGTTTACCACGCTTACTTGTGCAAGTTTTGCTCATCCTGCTCATCTGCTCACAGCCATGCTGGAGTATGATACACCACCTCTAACTAACTTTCCTAAGAAACTGTAAACTTAAATCTAAATGACATTTCCAACTGTCTGTACCAGGGCTTCTCATCTTTCTTTCTTTCTTTTTTTTTTTTTTTTAACGCTACTTTAAAAAAAAATTTACTATACTTGACAGTAAATTTTCCTTTCGAAAATAAGTAATGAATTTCTTTTTAAACTCCCAATTTGGGTAAAATAAGTAGCTCAGTACAAAATAAAAAGATACTGGTTTTGTGAGATAAATTTTAAAGACATTAGTTAGATTTATAGAAATGACAATTTTACTACTTTTTCTTCTGAAAGATTATATGCCAAATATTATTCATTATCTTGTTTATTCTTCCTTACAATCCAGTGAAATAGGTGCTTACTTTGTCCTCATTTTCCATCTAAGTTAAGAAACTGAGGTTTGGAGAAGCTAAGTAGTCTAACTTAAATAGTGTGATTGAACACAGATCTCTCTGGCTGGGGGACATATTCTTAACTTCTATACACCTCCTGAGACATTCTGGGAAACCAGCATTTGTGAAGTGCTTGTGCCTCAATCTTGCTATTTTTATTAAATGTTATATTTTAATTTTGTACGTGTTTACTCAATTAATTTGAATTAAATATTCTTCATGTTCAGTGTTCTTAATTCATAATTTAACATGAGATGGTGTTTCTGGAAAGGGGTTCTGATCCAGACCCCAGGAGAGGGTTCTTGTATCTTGTCAAGAAAGAACTGGAGGTGCACACACCCCCACTGGAGGTGCTAGACTAAGGATTCTTATAGTTATTTCTTGATTATATGATAAACAAGGGGTGGGTTATTCATGAGTTTTCTGGGAAGAGGGTAGGCAATTCCTAGATCTGTGTGTTCCTCCCCTTTTTAGACCATATAGAGTAACTTCTTCACATTGCCATGGCATCTGTAAACTGTCATAGCGCTGGTGGGAGTGTCTTTTAGGATGCTAATGCATTATAATTAGTGTATAATGAGCAGTGGGAACTACCAGACCGTCTCACCTTTCTCGCCATCTTGGTTTTGGTGGTATTTGGCTGGCTTCTTTACTGCATGCTGTTTTATCAGCAAAGTTTTTATGACCTATACCTTGTGCCGACCTCCTATCCCATCCTGTGACTTAGAATGACTGATATCCTGAGAATGCAGCCCAGTAGTTCTCACCTTTATTTTACCCAGCCCCTATTCAAGATGGAGTTGTTCTGGTTCAAATACCTCTGACAATGGTAGGAATGAAATTTAATAGTTATTGAGCACATGTTATGTCATACACTATGCTTACTACTGCGTGTTTATTTTCATAATAGAAATCTGTTTACTGTAACACCTTGTTTTTCTTATTGTTTTTTCATTCATTACAACTTATTTTTATGTATTCACTCATAAGTTTTGTTTTGGTTATCTGTATTACTCTTTCCTGCCCTTACTGTCACCACCCTCTTGCTCACATTCATAAACTCAAGGTGCCTGGTCTCTAATGGTAAATTTTATTCTGATTTTTCAGAAGCAAGAACAAGTTCATAGAAGTTAAGTAATAATTGATGAAGCTAAGATTATAACCTAGATCTCAGTGACAATTGTAACTAAAAGCAAAATCTTACCTAAATTTTATTCTTTAACTCATTCTAACAATATTTTTTATCTTGTTCCCTGTGCTAGGCACTGGGGATACAGCATTGAACAAGTCAGCTCTGTTGAACAAGTCAACTAAGTTTGTATGCATTGTAGTCTGTTTGTACCTAACTGTGAATCAGGAAATTTAACTCAAGTTCTAGTTAAGTAACTCACTGTGTATTTTTGAGGAAAATTACCAGAAGTCTATTATTTTTCATCAGATTTTCTGCATCTGTCAGTTTTCATCAAGAGATGGGACTTATGTGACAATTTTGTAAGTGGCCTTGTTGTAAGAACACTTGTCTGAACCTGCCTTCTTTCTGCCCTAGGCTTTTGTGATCAGTTTTATCTGACCAAAATCACTTAACGAGAAAGCCTCACCTTTTATAATTGCTTACTTTTGTTCTCAGTAGCAATGAATTTATATTCCTTAGATGTTACTTCTAGTTCATTTTTGCTGACTTACCAAGAAAAGTCATAGTAGCTTACTTCTCCAATCTCTAAAACAAAGCATGGCTGTTTTATATCCATTGTGTATCCTAAACATTTTGTTTTGCCTTATTTTCATGGCACATTAAGCCATGGTTAATGACTTAATTCACACTGACTCCCTACTAATCTTTCCAGTTTCCTCATGTTGAAGGAAGACAAGTGTCTGCTTGCTGCGCTCTTCAGATAAGGTGAACATAAAGTAGCTACCTGTGGAGATATGTAACATTTTATTTGTAGCTGTCTGCTTAAGAACAAAAGGAGAGGCAGTTTCTTGCATGACTCAGCTTTTACTCTAATTTTTTCTTTAGGCATAATGAATTGGGATCCCAAGTTTTATTTTCCTTTCACATTTCCAATTGCACTTGGATTTTGCGCACGTATATAGTAACACCCCATTTTTGTAAGCAAACAGAAATCAGTCATCCCATCCACTTAAACTGCATCTGTGAGTCTGCTTCTGTGCCTAGGAAAATTAGAAGTTCTCACAACTAACAAGAATAATGTGTTACATGTTTACAATAATGGCCCCCAGTGAGTCATGTCCCCCTCGATCTATGCCTTTGTGTAAATCTCTCCCTTCCCTGCAACTCTACTTTGCAGGTGACTCTTGGAAGTAACCTGAGATGACACCACAACTGAGCTCATAATATGCTCTCTCTCCCTTTCTCTCATACTACGCTCCCTTGGGGAATATTAACACTTCTGTTATCTTGGCCCTTTTATAACTTCTTTCCTGTTGATTCAGGATGTACCTTGCTTAAATGATAATTTTTTAAATATGCATTAAATAGAGCCTTATAAAGAGCTTGTACATTGAACCTTGCCCTCCTATTGTCCTGAGATCATCATTTAAGAAGCCCAAGCTAAGCTATTAGAGAATGTGATAATAAGTAGCAGAGACTAGCTTTCAAAGCTGAGAAATCTACCCTTTAAAAGCCATCCAGCCCTAATCAAGCCACTGGATAACTATAAACACATGAGTGACCCCAGGCACAACTAAAGAAGAACTATATACATACCTATATGTTTGGATATATATATATATATCAAATAAAGATATATCAAAGAATTGAATTATTTTGAATGTATTCATTTTTAAGTACTTCAGATGCCTAACTTAAGGAAAACTTTCTTAATACTTGAACTGATTAAATTTAGGAAATAAAACTAAAAACTATAGCAAATCTCAAGTTCTTATAAAAATTCCAATACTATTTGTGTATTTAGCTAAATTATTATGCTTTTCAACTGTAGTTGTGAATCCAGAAATTACATAGTAGTTTAATATGTTTATTATGTTTAATATGTTTCTTATACATATTATTATATATTTTAAAAATTATAGTTATACAGCTAATATATCAAAGTCTCTAGGATGACAGATTCTCTTAAAGGTTGCAATTACTCTAAAAAATCAGATGCATAATTTAATATTTTTATTATGCATATTATATATTTTTTATATTTTTAATTATTTAATTTATTTTAAATTATTTTAATGTATTTAACAATAATTTAATAGCTAATGTATCAAAGTCTCCAGGATGCTAGATTCTCTTAAACATTGCAAGTATTCTAAAAATTAGATACATACGTTGTTCCCAAGTATAACTTTAAAGTGTTGAAACCACAGGTTTAATTTACTTTTTTCTTCTATTAGTTTTAAACTTTCCTGTAGTTAGAACATTTAACCAAACAATAGTTTGTCACCCCAAGTGAATTGATGTTACCAAACCAGTGGCCTGAGATTATTTATGGGAAGAGAGATTTCTGACCTGTACACAAAACTTGATTTTTACCTACCCAAAGATAGATATCCTGAGTTGTTCCATTTGGTTTTTCTAAATTACAACATGTCTATATAGCTGTCTTATATTGGATCCCATTTCCTGATTTCTGTATCTTTGTTTTTACCTTTTCTCTGAGTTTCTTGAAAAGGAACATCAGAGGTAAATTTTTTGAGACCTTTAGTGACTTAGGTTTTTATTCTGCTTTCCCATGTGGGAAATTTAGGTTTATGAATATAGAATTAGTTTAGAAATCAATATTCCTCAGAAGTTTGAAACATTACTCTTTTTTTGTTTTGGAAGGGAATTTTTTGTTTTGTTTTGTTCCTAGCTTACAGCATTTTGGGTGAAAAAAAAAAGATTTTTGATTCCTGATTCTTACTCTGGAACCTTTTTTATTTCCAGAAGCTTTTAGAATCCTAACTGTTCGCAGTGTTGCAAAGTTTTATGGAATTTTGTGCCCAGTAGAAAAGGGATGGAGGGTCTCAACCTAAAATATATGGACAGACTTTTTTTTACTTAACCTTTATTTTCAATATGCTGCCTTTTCCCTGTTATCAGAGACCCTATGTTTTAAATAATCCACAGAGGAAATATCCAGTTTTCTGCCTTGGAATAGGAGAGAAGGTTATTTGGCTGTATCCAGTAAGAGAGGGGGCTGACATAGTGTCCCTGTTATCAGAGACCCTATGTTTTACAGCGGAAATCTCCAGTCTTCTTCCTTGGAATAGGAGAGAAGTTTACTTGGCTTTATCTAGTAAGAGAGGGGGCTGAGTTTTAACAGGTGATTAGCTTATGCTTCTTAGAAGTGGATGGCATTTTAGCTGAGCTTTTCTCTGGAGAATTAATATGCAATTACTTACCTACCTACTAAAATTAAACTTACTTGGAATAAATATGTTCCTTATTTTATCTTTATGATTTTTTTCCAGTTTTTGTCCAGAAGTGCTTATAGAAAAGATGGCTGATATTAACCTAAAAGAAATAACCTTAATAGTAGGTGTGATTACTGCCTGCTATTGGAACAGCCTCTTTTGCGGTTTTGTTTTTGATGATGTTTCAGCAATACTGGATAACAAAGACTTGCATCCATCTACACCTTTAAAAACTTTATTTCAAAATGACTTCTGGGGAACCCCTATGTCTGAGGTAAGTATTTATATATTACTTGTACATGTCTCAGATTTTGAAATATTCTGGTATTTTATTACTTCTAATTTTTTATCAACATTATCATCACAGCAATTACAGATTTTTAACCCTAAAATTGTTATATGAAACATAACATGTTTGTAATAAATTGAACAGGAAGCTGAGGATGAGGTTATCTTCTTTAGAGCAGTACTTGATTATTTCTTTGCCTGTGTACCTTGGTGCCTGCTTTTTTTTTTTTTTCTTTTTTTTTTTTTAACTTTTATTTTAGATAGAGGGCTACATATATAGGTTTGTCACGTGGGTATATTGCGTTATGCTGATGTTTGGGGTACCGATCTGTCACCCAGACAGTGAATATAGTACCCAATAGGTAGTTTTGGCTTAACTTCTTAAAAATAATGTATATTTATGTGAAAACCAAATGTATAGGGAGAGTAATAGGTGTAATGCATGCCTGTTTCTTGTTAATTGACTTTATTTCTCTTTTTTCTGTATTATGAGTAAGACGAAAGAGATGTGATATATTTCAACATTTTAAAATACAGCAACTTCAATATAAATAGATAAGACTTTAAGGGTAAAAATAGTAAGTACACATATTGCCAATTTCTCTTGCGGAAAAAGTGGTTATTACAAATTGTGAATCTTTGTCCTATCTCTTACATAATAGTTATTTAGGTTATATATTGAGAACCTGAAAGTTTAGTTCAATAGTTTAATATTTTATTCATCCATATGTCCATATGGTTCATTTTTATGAGGGTATTTTTACTGTTTTGAAGGTCACTCACTGTTAAACTGTTTGGGATTAAATCCTTATCAGCTTGATATCATATAGAATGGATTCTAATTTTAGTTATGTCACATACTAGCTGTGTGAAATACGTGAGAATACATCTTTCAGATGGAAAGTCATTTTCCTGATCTGTAAAAGAGGATAATTCCTTTCCAAAATAAAAAAGAGAGTAATGCTTCAAATTTCTGAGAGATATTGATTGCTAAACTAAAATTCTATATTAATTAATCTAAATTTCCCAGGTGGGAAAGTAGAATAAAAACATAAGTCATTTAAGTCTCAATAATAAGTCTCATTTAAGTCTCAAGTAATACTTTATCTACAGTACCTGGAACATACATATTGAATAAATTGTTGAAACATAACATGTAACTCTCGGCAATGTTAACGATATGTTTCTTGGTCATTGTGGCCTCTTTCCCCATTCCCCAAATTTGGAAGGCTCTCAAGGTTAGGGATGGAATCTTTCATTCCTCTGATCACAAGCACATATACTTATTTTGTCTTATTTAGTAAAAAGACTTTATTTGCCTTTTTGTTCTCACCCAATTCTAGCTTTTGAAAAAAAATCTTTTGATAATAAGGAGGAAAATATGGCCCTATTATACATTATTCTAGACAGCTTGTCCTCCTCTATACCTACCTTTGATCTCCAGAGACCCTCAGAACTATGTGTCCATTCCCTCAATTTATGCTAGTATCTGTTATGATTTTAGTCATAATGTTGAGGTTTTGAATTGATAGTTTAGCTGGCCATATTAAATGGTCTTATTTTCTAGATTAGGCTATTCTCGTATTGCTATAAAAAAATACCTGAGAGAGAGTAATTTATAAGAAAAGAGGTTTTATTGGCTCACAGTTCTACCGGCTGTACAAGAAGCATAGCAGCATCTGCCTCTGGGGAGGCCTCAAGAAGCTTCCAGTCGTGACGGAAGGGGAAGCGGGAGCAGGCACTTCACATAGCAAAAGCAGGAACAAGAGGAGCAAGGTGGGAGATGCTACACAGTTTTGAACAGCCATATCTCACAAGAACTCATTATAGCTAATATAGTACGAAGTGGGGTGGTGCTAAACCATTCATAGGAAATCTACCCCAATAATCCAATCATTTCCCACCAGGCCTCACTTCCAATACTGGGGATTACATTTTGATGTAATATTTGGGCAGGGACACACACATATCGCATACCATGGTGTCAGTGATCCCTGATTTTCTCAGCTGTGCAGATTGAAAATTTGATTTTGTTCAGAAAGCCCATAAGCAGACGGACTAACAAGAAGACTCATAATGTGTTCTGACAGAATGGATAAACAAACTAGAATAACAGTTTATTAAGAGTGAAGAGTGTAGTTTCCTTGTATTTTCTAATGGGCATATTCTCTCCCTGAAGGCAATTGTGACACTAGGAAAAAATTATTCTGGGTAGTTCTTAGGTGTCATAGATTTCGTGATAAGCCTGGAATTAGCATATTCAAAGATCTAATCGTTGATATCATCAAGTAATGATAACCTAGAAGATACGTGTCCACGTGTATCTTACACGAATTTTTGTGCCAATGTAGGTCTTAAGAACACATTTTGGGCTTAGGACATTCTCCTAAGCCATATGAATACTGCCATATTAGGGGTCTTTGGATTCCTGTGAACCTCTCAGTGTTTAGATTATCTCTTTAGTAGGCTTATGCTATAGATATGTGCTACTCTATTTATTGATAGTTCATTGGATCCCAACCCTGACTGCCATATTAGAATTTGCCTGGGGCATTTAAAGAATGAAAACATATTACCAAGGCTCTGTCCAAACCTGTTATTTCAGATAATCTCAGAGTGGGATGTAGGTATCAATATTTTTGTCTTATTTTGTATGTGTGTGTGTTTAGTTGTTGTTTTATGTGCAGGGGAGGGTGGGACTTTTTGTTTAAGTCATCCAGTTGATTCTTTGGTATAGCCGTGGCTGAGAGCCAGGAGACTGTAATGAGCCACCTTCCTCCGGCATTTGGCCTATAAAGTAGCTTGTGCTAAGGTAACTTCTGCAAATATTTTATCTCATTATGATTTTGCCATCCCTCTATTGAGATTCACATTAACAGGGAACTGTTAGCTTATTCGTTCATTATACTGTTGTATATTTTTGTTGCCAACTAATATCATGAGTAATTTTTTTAAAGAAAAAATTATTAAATTATTAAAGTATTAAAGTATACCCGAAAGTAATAATGATTTGAATTGTTTTTTTCGTAGTGGCCCTAGGTGTTTTCACAAAGTAAACTTGATACCTAATGGACTGATGATTTGTCACAGTGGAATCTGAAATAGATCCGTAATGAGTTATGTGAATAATTGGTTATGTTAATAATTGGTCTGTTAGTTGGTCATCACCTATAGTATATATATGTCTAATAGACCTAACTGAACAATTGTGTATACTGCAATTCAAAATACATATTCCCTTCTACTTTTTGAGTTCATCCTTTCCTCTGGAATATATGTTCCTTTGTAGCCACAGTGACATTTCAGGTACTCAAAGGGTTTCTAGAGTCCTTTTCTACTTTCTGGTACAAATCATGTCAGTTCAATACAGTGCCTTAAAAATAGCTTTATATGCTTGAGATGAAATTTGAAGGATGTAAAGGAATTAGTCAAGCAGGAAAGAACGTTCTAAGTAGATAGTACATCATGGAGTATATAGTCAGTACAGAGATACTAAAATGTTCCTAATTTCAAAATGTGATTTATTCTTTGTGTTTCCTAATGTTCCCTAGTAAGGATTAACAGGCTTAAGTCTACTTGTGTGCCAGAAAGTTAAACAGCAAAATACGATAGGAAGTAGAAGAGCAAAGAAGCTGAATATGGATGCCTATATTAGTCTGTTTTGCGTTACTATAAAGGAATACCTGGTAATTTTTAAGGAAAAGATGTTTATTTGGCACATGGATCTGCACACTATGGCAAGCATGGCAACAGCATCTTCTTGCTTCTAGTGAGGCCTTGAAAGTTTTATTCCCTGTAGAAGGTGAAGGGGAAGCAGGTGTATCACATGGTGAGAGAGGGAGCAAGAGAGAGAGGAGGAGGTTCCAGGCTCTTTTAAGCAACCATCTCTCACATGAACTCATTACAGTGGGGAAGACACCAAACCATTCATTAAGGACCCACCCCCAATGACCCAGACATCTCCCACCAAGCCCAACCTTCAACATTTCAACCTCCTCACATTTCAGCATGAGATTTGGAGGGGACAAACATCCAAACTATGCCAATGCCCTTTGTATAAAACTACAAAAAAATAGCATGAGTAATATTTTATATATATTTGAACTGTGTGTTTTATTCTTAAATCTGGTTTGGTTTTGTGTTAGGGAAAGAAGTATTTCTGATTAAATGTAACTTATAATTTAAAAAGAAAGTCAGTACTTCACATGAAATTTTATTTATTGCCAAAGGAGAATACTACAAGAAAGATGTCTATTTTCATATTCTAAGAAAGTTTTTACTCTTGTATTACTCTGTAATTTGGAAATTTCTAGTTTAATATATTCAGATTTATACATTATGGAGATTTTTTTCATAAAACAACTAGGCGGTACCTTTTTGAGTCATCACTATTTTAATTGAACTGGTAAGCATTCTGTTCTTACATTTCCTTTTGAAGATCTAGCCAGTAGTTATATCAACTTTTGTATTGCTAATAGATACGGAGGCAGGCTTTGGAGAGAATCCTGTGCTCTAACTTGACCAATGCTGGCATTGTCTTACTTTTTTTAAAAACTGTTATATTGACGAGGATTAATAGTCAAATGTCCTTTTACTGTTAGTTCTCTGACCACTGTAAATCAAGGAGGAAATTAACCTTGTTTGTGGACTAAGGAAATAGAAAAACAGATTATAAAATTCTATTCTATTTTTGTGTTACTCTTAGGACATTTCATATTTTATTGTTATTTCTCAGTAAAATGTAGATATTGATATCTTTAATGGTAAATGCAATGATGAACTTTTGTACCCTGTTGGACCAAGGTACTTTAATAATCACTGATTGTTTTTTCCTTTTAGGAGAGAAGCCACAAGTCTTACCGTCCCTTAACAGTATTGACATTTCGCTTAAATTATTTGTTAAGTGAACTAAAACCAATGTCATATCATCTCCTGAATATGATTTTTCATGCTGTGGTTAGTGTGATATTTCTCAAAGTATGCAGACTTTTTCTGGACAACAAGAGTAGTGTGATTGCTTCTTTACTTTTTGCAGTGCACCCAATACACACAGAAGCAGTAAGTAAAACTATGAATTGATTTGTTTTCTTTTTTCTTTTTTACAAATCCTGCACAGTGATTATAATGGTATACATTAAAAAAAAAAAAATTAACCCTGACTTTAATCCAAATATTTGAAGACTCTTAAATTCGTACCGTTAATTCTTAACTTTCTAGTACACAAAGTCTAACTTCTTACAGTGTAAAATTTTTAAATTTAAAATTTTTGAAACGAACATTTTTTCATTCAAGAATATAAAATCTATTTAGAAATATATACATGAATACAGTTCTTTGCTCACTTTTTTAATAAATAAGAATTTCTGAGGACTTTTTAAAGTTTATTGTCTTTTTAAACTTTAGTTTTCAGATTTATGAGGTATAACTTTTTGGATTTATGATGCCTTTGTATATTAAGAACTTCGTATTTTAAGAAAATATGTAAGAAGTACTTAAGTTCTAGATATTCTACCATATTTAAATGATTACCATTGAAGAAAGCTGGATAAAGAGTACACAGGATCTCTCTGTACTAGTTTTGAAACTTCCTATAAGTCTTATTATTTCTTTTTTTTTTTTTTTTTTTTTTTTTTTTGAGACGGAGTCTGGCTCTGTCACCCAGGCTGGAGTGCAGTGGCCGGATCTCTGCTCACCGCAAGCTCCTCCTCCCGGGTTTACGCCATTCTCCTGCCTCAGCCTCCGGAGTAGCTGGGACTACAGGCGCCCGCCACCTCGCCCGGCTAGTTTTTTGTACTTTTTAGTAGAGACGGGGTTTCACCGTGTTAGCCAGGATGGTCTCGATCTCCTGACCTCGTGATCCGCCCGTCTCGGCCTCCCAAAGTGCTGGGATTACAGGCTTGAGCCACCGCGCCCGGCCTAGTCTTATTATTTCAAAATAAGTTACAAAATTTATAAACTGTTAAGAGTCACTAATACATTTCTATTTATGTAAGATTCACAAATTCACCACCTGAGGGCACCAAAAGAATGTTTAAGAAACAAATGTGCACTTGAAAAGTTATGGAAATTAAAGTATTTTTACTATTATGTACAGTAATTTTTCAAGATATTCTTTATTAATATGGACCCCCTTTGTTTTTCTTTTCTAGGTAACGGGAGTTGTTGGAAGAGCAGAACTTTTGTCATCTATCTTTTTTCTAGCAGCTTTTTTATCATATACCAGATCAAAAGGACCAGACAATTCCATAGGTACATGTCTAACATTTGATTTTTTTTAATAGTGCTAAAACTTGATTAAGGAATTTCTGTTTACTCCTAATGCTTCTTATAATACCACATTTGGGATTTATCTTTATATATTGTTTTACTTTAGCATATGTGAAAATATGAAATATGTAACATTGCTAGTATTTAGGAAGTTTGTGTATAATTTATATTTTTATCATGAGTTAATAGATTTTATATGATCTAATTTTAAAAACCAAATAACCTTAGAGTAGAGGAGTTTTAGAGTTAGTCCCTGGTTCCATCTTCTGTTATCTGTAAATGATATAGATACCAGTATTTCAATTGTCTTTGGATAAATAACACCTGGTAGACTGTGATACTGTTTAGGCAAGGTTAAAAGCCTCCTAGAGTATAACCTTTATTGTGTGTTGATCATAGCTATTTACTGAGCTCCTACCTTGTGACCTACCCTGGAACGTGCTTCGTATACATTAGCTCATTACTCTTAATGATGCCTGGCATTATCAGAAAACAAGTTCCAGGCAATAAAAATGATTTTTTTAGAGTATGGGCACAGTGGGCACAAACCTTTAAGTTCTTGGGGAGGGGGCGGATTTTCTCACTGTAGTTCCAAGGTACTCATGACAAGAAGCCTCGTTTTATGTGTGGAAACTGAGGTTCAAGAAACACATGATTTACCCAAACAACTTAGAGTGTTCTGGATTTGTAATATAAGTAGGTTTGCCTTTGCTGCTCTGCATAATGCCTTCTTAAAACAGTTTGAGTGGCCGCATAGCATAATAGTTAAAAGCATGGACTAAAGAGTCTGGTTTCAAATTTTAGCTCCGCTGTTTATTTACTAGCTCCATTCACTGTAATACATCAGGCAAATTAACCTCTCTGTGCTTACATTTCTTTATCTGTTAAATGTGGATAATAATAGTCCCCTACCTGTGCAGTCCATCACGTAGTAAGAGGTACTTTAGTAACTAATATGGAATTGCAAACCAATATCCTCTTTAAGTACCATCCTCACCAAAACCTGAATGATAAAGCTAGAAAATACTGTGGCCTACTGGATTATAATTAAGCTCTCGATTACCTGTCTTATCATATCTTCTGCCGTTCTTGCCCTAGCTGTCTTCACTCTAGCTAGATAGACCTTCTTGCTGTTCTCAAACAAGCAGAGCACCCACCTTTATACCTGCATTTCCCATTATTGAATTTTCTTCCCTTAGATCTTTATGTAGTAGTCTCATTTATATACTACTCTTTATTATCAGGCCTCAGCTTAAGTATTCTGTCTTAGAAAAGCCTTCCTTGTTCTAACTGAAATAGCTTTTCACCATATTATATCTTCTGTTCCAAATACTTGTGCTTGGTGCTTTTTAATGATTTCTTATTCTTCACAATTCTAATATCTTGCCTTATTTCCTTAAGAATTACTTACTTGGGCTGAGTGCAGCAGTTCACACCTGTAATCCCAGCACTTTAGGAGGCTGAGGCGGGTGGATCACATTGTCAGGAGTTCAAGACCAGCCCGACCAATATGGTAAAATCCCGTCTACTAACAATACAAAAATTAGCCAGACATAGTAGCGGGTGCCTGTAGTCCCAGCTACTTGGGAGAATGAGGCAGGAGAATCACTTGAACCTAGGAGGCAGAGGTAGCAGTGAGCCAAGAACACGCCACCGCACTCCAGCCTGGGCGACAGAGGGAGAATCCATCTCAAAAAGAGATCGCACCACTGCCCTCCAGCCTGGGCGACAGAGGGAGAATTCATCTCAGAAAAAAGAATTATTTGAAATTCTTGGTTTGTCTCTTTAAGTAACTCTGATTTAGTAGTATATGTTATTATGTTTGTTCTCTCTGTTTTATGATTGTTGTATCCTTTAGATATTTAGTTATTTTGGCTTGTGAGCTCAAACCACGTGTTATTCTAAAGTTATAAACCACTGTGCCTGTTAAAGGAAAGGCCAGGCCCACTCTTTGTTCAACCTGTGAGTCTGAAGGGATGAAAGGAATTATAAACCAGGATGTAAAGTTCCAGGTTCCGCAGAACTACTGTGGATCACTGTTTTTCCTACCAGTACTACTAGGCACGCTTTCTGTTTTCTTTAAGAGAATCAGCATTAAGGGGCCAGTGTACCATCCCTCTGCATTTAAATGGTAACTCTGTGGAAATTACTGCCTAGGAGTGATTGGTTGGTTTGTACCTTTTAAAAAATATCTACCTCTTACCCCATCAAGACTTCTGAAGTGCTCTGCTTTTACCTCTGGAACACCCACTAGCCATTGTAGCTGTGGATTTCTGCAGTAATGGAGCAGATAGTGATCTACTCAAAGCTGCCAGGAGAGGATAGAACAAAAGTTAAAAAAAAAAAAAATTCTTACTCTTATCTTCTACCTTAAATGTAATCCCTCATAACACTCACGGAACCACGCATGCTTAAAGTAACCTTGAAATGCCAAGGAGGTTTTTTGTTTGTTTTTGTTTTTATTTAAAAAAAAAAAAAAAAAAAAAAAAAGTGTGTCTTAGAAACTATTTTTCCCTCTTACTTACCTTTTTCTAGGGTTGATTTTTGGGGAAGGGACCAGATCAATCTAGTTCACCATTTGACCAAAACAAAAACAGGGTAATGTTGTTTTCTATACCTTTAACTTGCATTTCTGAAAATACTAATTTCTAACCTGAAAATACGTAGTTTACATTTTTCTTTTGTTTATTGCTTTCTCACAGTAGAGTGTGACCTTCATTAGGGTACGTAACTTTTTCTCCACTTTTTGATCTTCATTTCCTAGAATGATCCCTGGTTTACAGTAGGTGATTAGTATGAGTATATTGAATAAATAAGCAAGTGAATGAATGTCATATATTTTAAATTCTAATTGAAAAAATACTGAAATCTACCTTGGACCTCTCTTTATCCTCTTGATCACTGTGATACTTTGTACTCTTAGTAATTTTACCTTTGAAGCCACAGTTTCCTCATCATCTTTGTATTCCCTATTGTATCTAGTATACACTGGCCTGTGCAAAGGTTTTCAAGTTGTAATTATTTATATTCATTTTTACTTCTATATTATTCATGTCCCATACCCCTTTTGTAAATATGGTCATCCAATTTCAGGGCCTTCATACTTGATTTTTTTATTACTTTAGGTTTCTGCTTAAATATCCACTTAAATGTCATCAATATCACTACTCATCTTTCCCAGTGGTGCTATTTTTATTTCCCTTCATTCTCTTTTTTTCTTTTTAACACTTACACTTTGTCACCATTTGACAGAATATATCATACTTGTCTCACTTCCCTATACCCTTGAAATGTAGTAGATACTTAAAATAACTGTTTGAATAAGTGATGGATGAAGATGTGTTTCTTTTACATAGGTAGAGTTAGTTTAGAAGCCTCTATTTTGAAATAGGAATGGATTTAAGTGTCCTTAACTTATTTACCAGATGTACTTGTTTTGGACAAAATCACATGTAGTAACTTTTAACCACAGTGATCTGATTGTAAAAGTGTTTATATAGTCATATACTCACTAGAGGCTGAATAACTGAAGTGATTGGTTTCAGTAAGGCATTTGCATTTATTACTCTTAGTTGGTGAGATTGAATTCAAGGTTATAAAAGGTAACTGTTTGCTTTTTCTTCCTTGGAGTAGAAATACAAATTACTGAGAAGCTCTGAATTTAAAATGAGAAGACATGAAGTCTTGGTCTCCTTATTCTTTCTTACTTTTTTTAAAATACCTCTACAATTCTTTCCTCATCTTAAAAATGGATATGATTACATCCGTGTTCTTACTCCATAGAGTGACTTTAAGATTCAGTGAAATAATATATGCCAAACTGGCAATTTAAACTGTTTAAAATATCTGCTTTCAATGCTGTTATTTCCTACGAGTTTTTATGTAGACATACGCATCCATTCATACTATTCTCTATATCCTTCATTCACCTAGCTTACTCTCACCCCTATTTCTTTATTTATGCATCCACTTTTCCCGGTTTTTCCATGTCCTGTATATCCTTCAAGGGCCAACATTAGGTCCAGCCTGTTTTGTCAATAACCATCTTCTGATTTCTTCCTCTTTGAATTTCTTGTTGAATTTAGCATTGTAATATAATATAATCTAGTATATTAGTATTGGTGGTTTTGGCCTAATAAGATTATAAGTTTTTTTTTTTTTTTTTTTTTAATACTTTTAGTTCTAGGGTACGTGTGCATAACGTGCAGGTTTGTTACATATGTATACTTGTGCCATGTTGGTGTGCTGCACCCATCAACTCGTCAGCACCCATCAACTTGTCATATACATCAGGTATAACTCCCAGTGTAATCCCTCCCCACTCCCCACTCCCCATGACAGGCCCCGGTGTGTGATGTTCCCCTTCCTGAGTCCAAGTGATCTCATTGTTCAGTTCCCACCTATGAGTGAGAACATGCGGTGTTTGGTTTTCTGTTCTTGCCATAGTTTGCTGAGAATGATGGTTTCCAGCTGCATCCATGTCCCTACAAAGGACATGAACTCATCGTTTTTTATGGCTGCATAGTATTCCATGGTGTATATGTGCCACATTTTCTTAATCCAGTCTGTCACTGATGGACATTTGGGTTGATTCCAAGTCTTTGCTATTGTGAATAGTGCCGCAATAAACATATGTGTGCATGTGTCTTTATAGCAGCATGATTTATAATCCTTTGGGTATATACCCAGTAATGGGATGGCTGGGTCATATGGTACTTCTAGTTCTAGATCCTTGAGGAATCACCATACTGTTTTCCAGAATGGTTGAACTAGTTTACAATCCCACCAACAGTGTAAAAGTGTTCTATTTCTCCACATCCTCTCCAGCACCTGTTGTTTCCTGACTTTTTAATGATCGCCATTCTAACTGGTGTGAGATGGTATCTCATTGTGGTTTTGATTTGCATTTCTCTGATGGCCAGTGATGATGAGCATTTTTTCATGTGTCTGTTGGCTGTATGAATGTCCTCTTTTGAGAAATGTCTGTTCATATCCTTTGCCCACTTTTTGATGGGGTTGTTTGTTTTTTTCTTGTAAATTTGTTTGAGTTCTTTGTAGATTCTGGATATTAGCCCTTTGTCTGATGAGTAGATTGCAAAAATTTTCTCCCATTCTGTAGGTTGCGTGTTCACTCTGATGCTAGTTTCTTTTGCTGTGCAGAAGCTGTTTAGTTTAATTAGATCCCATTTGTCAATTTTGGCTTTTGTTACTGTTGCTTTTGGTGTGTTAGACATGAAGTCCTTGCCCATGCCTATGTCCAGAATGGAAAAATTCCCTTTGAAAACTGGCGCAAGACAGAGATGCCCTCTCTCACCACTCCTATTCAACATAGTGTTGGAAGTTCTGGCTAGGGCAATCAGGCAAGAGAAAGAAATAAAGGGTATTCAGTTAGGAAAAGAAGAAGTCAAATTGTCCCTGTTTGCAGATGACATGATTGTATATTTAGAAAACCCATTGTCTCAGCCCAAAATCTCCTTAAGCTGATAAGAAACTTCAGCAAAGTCTCAGGATACAAAATTAATGTGCAAAAATCACAAGCATTCTTATACACCAGTAACAGACAAACAGAGAGCCAAATCATGAACGAACTTCCATTCACGATTGCTTCAAAGAGAATAAAATACCTAGGGATCCAACTTACAAGGGATGTAAAGGACCTCTTCAAGGAGAACTACAAACCACTGCTCAGTGAAATCAAAGAAGACATAAACAAATGGAAGAACATACCATGCTCATGGATAGGAAGAATCAATATCGTGAAAATGGCTATACTGCCCAAGGTAATTTATAGATTCAGTGCCATCCCATCAAGCTACCAATGAGTTTCTTCACAGAATTGGAAAAAACTGCTTTAAAATTCATATGGAACCAAAAGAGAGCCCGCATCTCCAAGACAATCCTAAGTCAAAAGAACAAAGCTGGAGGCATCACGCTACCTGACTTCAAACTATACTACAGTATAGTTTGAAGTTTGGTTACAGGCTACAGTAACCAAAACAGCATGGTACTGGTACCAAAACAGAGATAAAGACCAATGGAACAGAACAGAGTCCTCAGAAATAATACCACACATCTACAGCCATCTGATCTTTGATAAACCTGAGAAAAACAAGAAATGGGGAAAGGATTCCCTATTTAATAAATGGTGCTGGGATAATTGGCTAGCCATAAGTAGAAAGCTGAAACTGGATCCTTTCCTTACTCCTTACACGAAAATTAATTCAAGATGGATTAGAGACTTAAATATTAGACCTAATAACATAAAAACCCTAGAAGAAAACCTAGGTAATACCATTCAAGATTTTTTTTAAAGAAAGAATATTATACTTAGTATCTGCAACAGTTTCGTGGGTTTGGTTTTTTCATTTATTTCTTGTCTTTGGTTATTTTTTCTTTCAGTAATTTTAGTCTGTAGAGTACTTTGAAAACAATTTCAAAAATAGGTGAATTTCTATATTAATCCCAGTGACTAAAGAAAATGTATTCATGAATTCTGTTCTTGTTTATACTTAGATTTAAGTCAATTACTTGAATTTTTACTTTAGTTAATATTCTTAAAACTGAGGTCACGGCTGGGCACAGTGGCTCACGCCTATAATCCCAGCAACTTTGGGAGGCTGAGGTGGGCAGATCACCTGCAGTTGACAGTTCGAGACCAGCCTGACCAACATGGAAAAACCCCGTCTCTACTAAAAAATACAAAATTCGTCAGGCATGGTGGCACATGCCTGTAATCCCAGCTACTCAGGAGTCTGAGACAGGAGAATCACTCAAACCTGGGAGGTGGAGATTGTGGTGAGCTGAAACCATGCCATTGCACTCTAGCCTAGGCAACAAGAGCAAAACTCCGTCTCAAAAAAAGAAAAAGAAAGAAAAGCAAACTGAGATCACACAGTCATACTACCAGATATTTTTTAAACTAGAAAAGAATAAGAGGTTATAGTTTTTCATAAGAAAACTGAAGCCCAGAAAAGTTGCCCAAACTCACAAGATCACAATGAACTTTCACAGTTCATTACTCTTTAGTCAAATTACTGCTTTATTGTAGACTATTACTTAAAGTCGACGAAGTACATTTTTTTGTTTAAATATAACTTATAGAGTCTATTGTAAATTTTTTGAAGAATAGTATTTAAGTGCCTATTGTTAACCACTTTCATTTTAGTTTTTATAAGAATGGGCTAGACACGGTGGCTCGTGCCTGGAATCCCAGCATGGTGGGAGGATGGATTGAAGTCAAGAGTTTGAGACCAGCCTCAGCAGCATAGCAAGCAATATTAATTCTGTCTCTACAAAAAAGAAAAAAAAAAAAAAGTAGCCCGATGTGGTGGCACATGCCTGTAGTCCTACTTGGGAGGCTGAGGCAGATGGATTGCCTGAAGTTCAGAATTCAAGGCTGTAGTGAGCTATGTTCACACCACTGTACTTACTCCGGCTTGAGTGACAGAGCAAGACCCTGTCTTTAAAAAAAAAAAAAAAAAAAAAAGTACGGTACCCTACTTTTTCCAATAGTTTTAAATTTTAAGTTTTTAATAATTTATCAATTTAATGAAGTATAAAGATATCTGTCATAATTTCAGGAATTTGTCTTCATTTCAGATTGATACCTCATTAATTATCAAACCTGTACATTTCTCTTTTCCATATTCACCACCCTGCGTTTGTTTTAAAAGTTAGTATTTGATTAAATAATTTTTCTCTGTAAAAAATTTCAGTTCAAATTATACATGTTGATATTTTGCTTTGAATGTGTAAAGCAAAAATTATAAAATTTAAGTATTTTAAAGTATGTCCTATTAATTAATGGGAAATAGCACTCATATGGATATGGAATCACAAGTAAAGTTTAAAATATCTTTTTTTCGTGTTATAAAATTGTTTTCTGAATTTTTATCTTTTCTATTCTCAAATTGCAGTGTGGACTCCAATTGCATTGACAGTGTTTTTAGTGGCTGTTGCAACATTATGTAAAGAACAAGGAATAACAGTTGTAGGAATTTGCTGTGTGTATGAAGTGTTTATTGCCCAGGGGGTAAGCCAAACTATAAATATATAAATTTACTTATTGATATGTTTTATCCTAATTGAATCAGATTTTATTTACTTTTATTTTCTAAACGTATCATTATGTAAATTAATGTGTTTACCAATAATAATACTAGAAATCATGTTTTATCCTCATATCTACTGAAAATTACTTAACATTTTATGATACTTTCAGTGTTTTAAGAACTGTATTTTAAATTTCAATAATGGAATCATTAGGCAGCTTGGAAAAGGATGCAATAATACTGTACAGTATAATTCATTGTTGGGTAAGACTGTTGAGCTCAGTTTTATTCATTATTAGCTTCACACATTCTTCCACATTAATTTCATAATTATACTTGTATCTAATCTTGCAGTTAGAAAGTACTACAGTATTGAAAACATTGAGATATGTTGTTATTGTTGCTTAAAACATTTATTTTCTTTTTCAGTATACTTTGCCATTATTATGTACTACTGCTGGACAGTTTCTCCGTGGAAAGGGTAGCATTCCATTTTCTATGCTACAGACATTAGTAAAACTCATTGTCTTGATGTTCAGTACGTTATTACTTGTTGTAATTAGAGTCCAGGTTATTCAATCCCAACTTCCAGTATTCACCAGGTATGAAATTCTGGTTCTTTGTTTTCTGCATTCTTTTTTTTAACTTTGGATTTTAATGTTCATAAATGTTCCAGAAAGTATTTTATTTACTTTGTTTTTTAACAGTTTTATTAAGCTATAATTAACGTATTTTTTAAACTGCATATGTTTAAAATTTACAGATTGGTAAGTTTTGACATATGTATACACCCTTAAAGCCCCCACAATAAAGATAATGAATGACCCATCCCAAACTGGTTAAGTGTTAAGGTTAGTGTTAATTTAGTCTCCTCTATTCTTAGTGATTTTTGTCCACTCATTCTGTCAGTTACTGAGAGAGAGATGTTGAAATCTCTGACTGTACTTGTATATTTCGCTGTTTTTCCTTGCACTTCTATCCGTTTTTGTTTTACATGTTTTTGAAGCTCTGCTCTTAGGTGCATAAAGAACTAGGATTGTTAAGTCATCTTGAGGAACTGATCCCTTTGTCATTATTAAATGAGCTTCATCCCTAGTAATAGTCTTTACTCAGAAATTCACTTTTTCTTATCCCAGCTATCTTTTGTTAGTGTTATGTGGTGTATCTTTTTCCATCTTTTTACTTTTTACCTGTCTATGATTTATGTATAAAGATTTCTTGTAGCGTGCATACAATTTGGTCTTTTGTTGTTTGGTCAGATAATCTGATTTTTAGATGGGATATATCATGATTTATATTTAATATGATTATTGATATAGTTTGATGGAAATCTGTCATCTCGCTAAAATTGTTTTATCTTTGTCCCATCTATTCTTTGTTCCCTTTTTTTCTCTTTCCGCCTTCCTTTGGATCCTTTTTTAATATTTCATTTTATCTCCTTGTTGGCTTATTAGCTATAAATCTTGGTTGTTTTAGTGTTGCTTTAGGGATTTTAGAACATCCTCTGCTTATCACAATTTACCTTCAAGAATATTCTAATTTTGAATATATGTATAAAATGAAAAATATCAGTATATATAGTATAAATATCATATATAATATACATTTTATATATGTAAGAACTTAGCTTTTGTGCAGTTTGCATATGTTTTCCTTGAACATACATTGCTTTAAACAATTGTCTTAGAGGAATTTAAATAATAAAAAAGTATTTTACATTAACCATGGAGTCACCATTTCCAGTGTTCTTTATTCCTTTGTTAGGTAAGATTTTTATCTGGTACTATTTTTCCTTTTGCCTGAAGGAATTTTTTTAGCACTTCTTGATTAAAAGTATGTGGTTTTCAAAGATAATTTCTCTGGGTGAATTCTACACTGACTTTTTCATTCAGTATTCTGAAAATGTAAATCTACTGTCTTCTGGCTTATGTTGTTTTCAGTGGGAAAACCTCTATCATCCTTACCACTTTATGCTAATGTATGTTATGTGTATTTTTTTATGCCTTTTTTTAATATTTCCTCTTTATCATTGTTTCTTATGTATTTATGTTCCTCGTGCTTAGTCAAACTGAGCCTCTTGAAATCTGTAGGTTTTAATGTTGTATAAATTTTGGAAAATGTTTAGTCTTCAAATATTTTTGCCATCTTTTCTTTTTCATCTTTTTCTTGTATGTCACTTAAGTATATTTAAGTTTCTTGAAGTTGTTGCACTGATGCTCTGTTTTTTTCCCTCAATCTTTAACCATTTTAGTTTGGATAGTTTCTTTTGCTATATCAAGTTCACTAGTCTTTTTTCTGAATATCTAATCTACCCTTCATTTCATCTAATTATTTCTTACCTGTGAATCTGTTTTCATCTTCAGAAGGAAGTCTGATTTGAGTCTTCTTTTGTATCTTCTATATCTCTACAAGTTCTATTGCTTTAATGTCCTTGCCTACTAATGTCATTCCTTGGTCAGTTTTTATCGAATAAATTTTCTCTTCATTATAGGTTGTATTTCTCTGCTTCTTTGCATTCCCGGTGATTGTTGAACAGATACCATTTGTGAATTTTATCTTAATGTATTCTATAACTTTTGAGTTTTATTCTGGAATGCATTTAAGTTACTTGGAAAATGTTTTATCTTTCACTCTTACTTTTTTTCTTCTATTTTTTTGAGATGGAGTTTCGCTCTTGTTGCCCATGGCTGGAGTGCAATGGCGCGATCTCAGCTCACCGCAACCGCAACCTCCCAGGTTCAAGCGATTCTCCTGCCTCAGCCTACTGAGTAGCTGAGATTACAGGCATGCGCCACCACGCTCGGCTTTTTGTATTTTTAGTAGAGACAGGGTTTCTCCATATTGGTCAGGCTGGTCTGGAACTCCCGACTTCAGGTGATCTGCCCACCTTGACCTCCCAGAGTGCTGGGATTATAGGCATGAGCCACCACACCCAGCCCAGTCTTGCTTTTAAGCTTTGTTTTGTGGAACCACAACAGCATTTAGGATAAGACTAATTTCACTTCACTACTGATGCAAGATCTTTTTGACTATTTGATGTGAACTGTAAATTACAATTTATTATTTTTATCTGAAAAAAAATGTAAGTTGTGAGATTCCATATGAAAATTTTGAAATGATATTATTTGTTCAAATAGTACTTATTTTTATCAGATATTTGGTATGTTTTTAGAAAATCAAGTCAAATAAGTGATAGTACTTGATTTTTCATTGGCTTACTCATTTTAAAGTGAGAAAATGGGTCTTTTAAGTACTATATATTATAGCCAACAAAATTTAGAACACAGACTAAACTAATGAAATGTATATATGTCATGGCCTGGGAATAGGTAAACTATGATATAAGTTTTTATTAGTATTTACTAAGAAAAAAAGTAGAACACAAATTGTTACATAGCCCTACACAGTTACTACTTTGTACTAGAAGTTTGGTTTTCAGCTTCCTAGGAGTCAAAGAGGGAAGAAAGCTTCTAGGTGATAATGGTTTTCTCTCTCCGTGATAGGAGAAAAATATACTAATTTTTTCCAGGAAGCATAATTTTTAATTAACATTTAGCTCTAAAAGAAATATCTCATGTAGGAAAGCACTGGTGAGTGTTTTCAAAAGTGATTCATACAACACATACAACAATAAATCTTATACAACTTTTTGTTACTACTTTTAATCAAAAGGTTTAATGGAACACTTTTGCAGTATTGTAATATTATAGGATGCATGTCTGAACTATTCTAATAATAAACAGAAATGGATGACCTGCTTGCCTTTCAAATAGTCCTTCATAAATATCACTTCTCTGAAGTAGATGTTTCATAAAGTTTTGATAGTTTGAACTCTAGCAAGAGTCTGAGTTACACATAACATTTATCTGTGTCTTCTGTTTAAGAAGATGATATATAAAATGTTTATTGTTTAGTGTTTTACGTAAATAATTCTGTATTTTAAAAGTTTTATTGGTAATCATTTTTTAAATCCTTTATACAGGTTTGATAACCCAGCTGCTGTAAGCCCAACTCCTACAAGGCAACTGACTTTTAACTACCTCCTTCCTGTGAATGCTTGGCTTTTATTAAATCCTTCGGAGCTCTGCTGTGATTGGACCATGGGAACAATACCACTTATAGAGTCGTTACTAGATATTCGAAATCTGGCCACATTTACTTTCTTTTGTTTTCTGGGGACTTTGGGAGTATTCAGTCTCAGATACTCTGGTGATTCCTCCAAGACTGTTTTAATGGTAAGAAACTTTTCTTAACTTTCCAAATGATGTTACATTCAGTTGAATAAGTAAGAAACTACCTTTAATTCAGCAAAACCATCTTTTTAGAAGCATTCCTTCCTTTGTTCAACGGCATCCCAATTTATAAAGGTATTTCAGTTATCCCAGAATTCACAGTTAATTTGCAGGCATAATTTGACATATGTTTAGCACATAAAATATTTCTTACCTTTATCCAACTAAATTATATACTTTTTGAAGAAATTGATTATACTGTATTTTATTTGTTTTCTTGGCACAGAGAAGAACGTCATATAAGATACACAACTAGCAATACAGAGCTTTTCAGTTCTCATGAGCAAGGTGGTTTTTATTACTCCCTTAGATAGCTTTTACTATGTTCAGAGAACTCTGATTATTTGAAAAGTTTGTGTGTGTGTGTGTGTGTGGGGTTATTTTTCTGTACTGTTTTTTGTTTTTTTAATTTTCTTACCCTGCCTCATTTCATACTCGTAAGGGTTCTGTTTTCTCTTGCTTTTAATTATTAAAGACAGGCCCGGTGCGTTGGCTCATGCCTGTGATCCCAGCATTTTTAGAGGCCAAGGCAAGTCGATCATTTGAGGCCAGGAGTTCAAGACCAGCCTGGTCAACCTGGTGTAACTCTTGTCTCTGCTAAAAATACAAAAATTAGCTGGACGTGGTGGTGGATGCCTGTAATCCCAGCCACTTAGGAGGCTGAGATTCACTTGAACAGGAATCACTTGACAAGAATCACTTGAACCAGGGAGGTGGAATTTGCAGTGAGCCGAGATTGCTCCACTGCACTCTAGTCTGTGTGACAGAGCAATACTCTGTCTCAAAAAAGTAAAAATAAAAATTTATTGAAGACAATAGTGTATTTTCTCAGGCATTTATTATATGTCAGAAAGTATGTTTAATGAATTGCAGATACATAATTTTTTGCTGTAGCTGCTAGATTGATTTATTCATTTAATTAAAAACAGACTTTACCCTTCGTACAGTGCAGCATTTTAGGCACTGAGGTTTTGATAGTAAATACACAGTTCATGTTTCCAGAGAACTTACATTCTAGAGAAATTTGAATGTCTGAGATACAGAGTAGATTGAAAGATTGTGTTTTCTATTATCCTTGAACATGTTTGCCTTACTGTTGAAACATCCTGTTGGACATTTTGAACAGCACCTTTTGTCTGGAGTTCATAAAAGATACTTAAGCTACACATAGAAATTTTATTCTTCATGGAGATGGTCATTGAAACCAGGATGTAGATAAGGTGGACTGTAGATGAGGTTATAGAGCAGCATTTCTCAACTGGGGTTTTGTCAGTTCTGTCCGAGATGGTAGCTGTTAACATTCTAGATGCACAGAAGTTCACTCATACTCATAATGGAAGCCTTAGAGTATTTGGTGTTAATTCTCCCCAGGAAACAGTTGAGTGGGCTAAATACAGTGAAAAGAGAAGACATCTACAACTAGGTCTTGAGAAACTCCTATATTTAGATGTTGAAGAGAAGGATCCTAAATAGGAGACATATCAAATGAAGAGAAAGGTAGGAAAGTGTATTAAGAAAGACCAAACGGTTAACACTAACAGATGCTCTTAAAGGGGAAAGTGAGATCTAGAATCTGTTGGATTGGACCTCTTTTAGTCTGTAGTTACTTAAAGGACATTTGTTTCTGTGCGGTGAGTGATTTGATCAGAAAGTGAAGAGAGCTAGTATAGATAACCTGTAGGAATAAGTTAACTTTCACTGTTTCAAAGGATGGGATAAACTTGATTTATTTCCTACCTAAGTAAGGGAAGACTATGCTAGTCAGGCAGTGGTTTCAAGTATAACAGACTGCTAATCTTATGTAGGGCTTGGGGGAAGCATTGAGATCTGGCATTGGTAGACCTTCAGAGGTAGGAGGGAGTGATGTCAGGGAGAGACTGTTGATTGGTTGGCATATAGAAGCATTTTTATTGGAGTACTCAGCTACTCAGCTGACTTTTAGAAGAATGCGGATATCCCTGATGGGTTGGATTGCAGGAACATATTTATTAAGTTGAAATGTTGATTGGTTAAGTGGTGGACTTAAGTTGATTAGTTAAGCAGGCTACTTGATACTATGGCAACAAAATCTTTCCTAAGATCATGGGAACTTGTTTTGTACCTGAGGTATGTAACGAATAGGGAAGGTAGCTTAAAAGATGTATTGTTAAAGATGTTTAAGGCTGGAGAGACAAGACCATGTTTAAATATAGATAGGAAGAATACAGTTGATTAGAAAGTGGTTAATAAATTAGAGAAGGAATAATTGTTAGTGAAGTTTATGAGGAGCAGGAGATATGGAGCACAGGTTTGGCCTGAGATAGAAGAGACACCCCTTATGTTACAAGAAGAAAGAAAATGAATGTGGATGTTGGTAGGTTTAGCAGCAGGAAATTGAAGAAATTCTTGTTTTATGGCTTTAGCTTTCCCTGTAAATTAGGAAATGTAGTTGCCTGCTAAAAGTGACATGAGTCAACAGTTTGAGAAAAGTAAGAAGATTCAAAGCAGTCAAGAAGAGTGGAACTTTTGGCCGGGCGCGGTGTCTCAAGCCTGTAATCCCAGCACTTTGGGAGACCGAGACGGGCAGATCACGAGGTGAGGAGATTGAGACCATCCTGGCTAACACGGTGAAACTCCGTCTCTACTAAAATATACAAAAAACTAGCCGGGCGAGGTGGCGGGCACCTGTAGTCCCAGCTACTCGGGAGGCTGAGGCAGGAGCATGGCGTAAACCCGGGAGGTAGAGCTTGCAGTGAGCTGAGATCCGGCGACTGCACTCCAGCCTGGGTGACAGAGCGAGACTCCGTCTCAAAAAAAAAAAAAAAAAAAAATGCACTCCAGCCTGGGTGACAGAGCGAGACATCTCAAAAAAAAAAAAAAAAAAGAGTGGAACTTTCAGAGAAGCCTAGAAATCCCAAACAGTCTTAAGGATGTCAGGAACTGGTGTCGGTGCTTTTGTTTTTGCTTGTTTTGTTTTTGTTTTTTTTTTTTGAGACGGAGTCTCGCTCTGTCGCCCAGGCTGGAGTGCAGTGGCGCAATCTCGGCTCACTGCAAGCTCCGCCTCTCGGGTTCACGCCATTCTCCTACCTCAGCCTCCCGAGTAGCTGGGACAATATTAATCTGTTCAGCTTAGGGACTTTCTCTAGCAGCGCATTGCCACTCTGATAAATACAGACAAAAGAAATAAATGGTAGAATACATCCAAAGCTGGAGTTTTGCTAAAAGAAAGTTTAAAAAAAGGAGAGGTAGGGGAATTAAGGTTTCAGCAAATAAAATAATGATGCATGTAATGTAAACTGAATTTAAAATGCATATAAAAATGGAACAGCTGTGGCCTTAAGCATAACTTTACTTTTGGTATAGTCCTAATAAATGTGCTCTTTTTTTATGGTGATATTTTCTGAAGATCTCTGGAAGGGATAAGTAGAACAAAGTAGTACCTACCAAGGACTAGATACCATCTTATGCACTTATTAGATAAGATGTCATATATTTGTCAACAGCAAAATATAAGTCGTTATTAATCCCCATTTTATTTGTAAAGAACTAACTGGGTTCAGTGGCTCATGCCTGTAATCCCAGTGCCTTGGGAGACAGAAATGGGAAGATCAATGGAGGCCAGGAGTTTGAGACAAGCCTGGGCAAGATAGTGAGATCCCATCTCTAAAATTTTTTTTTTAATTAGCCAGGCGTGGTAGTGCATACCTGTAGTCCTAGGTACTTGGGAAGCTGAGGCAGGAGGATTGCTTGAGCCCAAGAGTTCAGGGGTGCAGTAGACTATGATCATGCCACTATACTGTATCCTGGATGACAGACAAGACCCTGTCAAAAAAAAAAAAAAAAGGAAGAAGAAGAAAAGAAAGACTCTTGAGGCAACTGAGTGGTTTGCCTTATGTAGGAAATGAGAAGTAAAGCAGATTTGTCTTGAACTCCTTGCTCTTTCTACTAATATCCTAACATTTAAGGACAGTTTATATTACTGGAAGAAGGAAATTAAAAGATAGTGATAGTTAACTAGGTTGACATACATTATTAGAGAGCATATTAGGACTTGTGAATAAGTTAATCATTAGAGGACCTATAGATTTTTCCTGAGAGATTTTTTTTTTTTTTTTTTGTATAGCTTATGCATCAGTCTACAATACACTTTTGGGTGAATTTAACAATTCCTTCAAATGAAATTGCCTTAGGGCGGCCATGAATTAATAGGTATAATTTTTTTTTTCAATGAACTACATACATATTCAGGAACTTTATCTGTTTCACATTTTTTGTCAAGCATCTCTGGGAAATGGAAAGTGAATTCTATGCACTCTTAGTTGTTCTTACCTTTTTGATGTAAAAAAACTGAAGTGTCAGACCTATAAATTGGTATGATGGTGACCAGTTTGATGGTAGTGATTTTCCTCAGATTCAGTGTTGCCTTATGACAAATCATTAATGTGTGAACATTTGTGGAGAGAGTATTCTTTTCAATGTGTATACCTCTGTATTTCACAAATTAAGTCAAATAGAAAAAGACATTCTTTCACCTTAGCCCATTAGAAGAGTCTCAAACTTGTGAAGCTAAAGTTTTAACTTGTTTATTCAATTAGGTACTATAAAACAAATCACGGTAACAAAATATGGAAGCAGATGTCCATAGAAACAGATTTCCTAATAGTGACCAAACTTATTTCCTTCACAAGCTATTTATGTGCTAGTGTTTTGTGGGTGTATAATGTGGAAACCACATGTCATCCCATTTTCAGAATGGTAAGAAATCTAAAAATTTTATGATGTTTCATTTCATTGTTCAGTCTTATATTAATAATTTTAGAAATTCTTATAGAATGAAAGACTGTTGATTTAAAGGGGGTCAGTTTTATTTTTATGCATACACCAAGCTTCTAGTTAAATATTTTTAACCTTTCAGGATGTTATGTGAAGTAATGCTAAGGTACAGTAGTCTGCTGTCTTGTCTGAACAACACCTGATTTTGTTCCCTCAGTTTCCAATATCATGCGGTTCCTTAAAGTAGTAAAGTTGTAAAAATTGACATGTTTAAATTTTTTTAATCAGCCTTTGTAGTTTTGATTTGTTGAAAAACCTATTAGCATATTTCATTATCATCTTATTTTTACCACACGCACATAGTTAGATGTGTAAAATTTTTATTTGTTTAATTTATATTCCTCCTAACTGAAGTTTTATGCCTTTTACCAACCTTTCCCCATCCTTCTCCCTCCAACCCTGGTGACCACCGTTTACTCTACTTCTGTGAGTTCAACCTTTACAAATTCTACATACAAGTGAGATCATGTGTTATTTGTATTTCTGTGGCTGGCTTATTTCTATTAACATGGTGTCCTCTGGTTTTATCCATGTCAAAATGACAGGATTTCCTCTATTTTAAGGCTAAATAGTATTCCAAAGTGTATATGTACCACATTTTTTTCATCTAGTAATCTGTTGATGGATACTTAGGTTGTTCCCATATCTTGGCTATTGTAAATTGAATAATGCTGCAATGAACAGGGGAGGTCAGATCTCTCTTCGACATACTGATTTCATTTCCTTTGGATCTATACCCAGTAGTGAGGATGCTGGATCACGTGGTAGTTCTATTTTTAATTTTTTGAGGAGTCTCCATACTGTTTGCTTAATGGCAGTGCTAATTTACATCCTACCAACACTGTGCAAGTGTTTCCTTTACGTTCTTGCCAACATTTGTTATCTTTTGCCTTTTTGATAATAACCATTCTTACAGGTGTGAGATGATATCTCATTGTGGTTTTAATTTTCACTTCCCTAATGATAGTGATGTTGAACATTTATATACTTGTTGGCCATGGGCATGTTGTCTTCTGAGGAATATCTGTTTATCTCCTTTGCCCATTTTTTAAATTGGGTTGTTTTCTTACGATTGAGTTGTTTGAGTGTGTTATTTTAGATACAATTTCAAAAAGTACTTCCACTTTTTATTTAACTGGATGAACCTTTATTGTTTAATTTTTGCTTAAAGATGTGAATATTTACATTAAAGTTTGTATATTTTACTACGCAAGCATATTCTTTACAGAAAACCAGTGAGATATAGCTAATTATGCTTCTCAAATTTAAAATGCTATAATGGTTTAGATTTTAATTTCAAGGAATAAGCACTTCCAAGCACACCTAGAAATCTTGTTTTTGAAGAAAGTTCATAGATATCCTGTAATTATAACTTCTAGAATTCAAGATTTCCATTTCACCTTGCTTACATACATCCTGATGTTTGTTAATGCCTAAGTTGCCTTCTTTATGTTTAAATTAATATTCTTCACAGTATTATTAAAAATAGTTTACCAGTACACTCTTCAAATTAAATGATAAAATATTTGAATTCCAGTATCAGATGCCCATGTATTTCTTAATTTATTATAAATTTATTATAAATTATTAAATCTTTTTTTTTTTTTTTTGTAGGCGCTTTGTTTAATGGCATTACCGTTTATTCCTGCATCGAACCTTTTTTTTCCAGTTGGATTTGTTGTTGCCGAGCGAGTATTATATGTTCCCAGCATGGGATTCTGTATTTTGGTAGCCCATGGATGGCAGAAAATATCAACAAAAAGGTGAATTTAAATGTCAGTTCATGTAATGCTTACTATGGAATTAAGTGTGACACATTTTAAAATTTAAGTATTTAGTTCAGTTTTCTAAGTCATGCTTTTGTATCTTTTGGTTTTTCATCTCCATAACCTCCACATTTGCCTTGTAAGACAAGTTAGGAAAGCTCCCCAGCACCTACTTATTCTGTGTTCTTCCCCATTTTATGCAATTTGATTTTACAGCCTGAGACAGAACACACTTTAAGTCAGACCCAAATGAAAACAAGGATGTTACTGAGAATAAAGTCACAAATGACCATTGCCACTTCCATATTCAGTGAACTAAGATAATAGTCATCCTACTTAAGTGAGTCATATTGAGTTAATATATATAAAATTCATATGGTAAGCAATCTATAATTTCTTGCTATCATCACTATCTTCATTATAATCTTTGTATCCTAGTTGCCTCAGACTAACAGTTAAGGAACAGCATAGTCACCCTATATATGCTTAGGAACTATCATTGTTATAGTTATTATCTCATTGTATACTTAAGCTGTGGCACTAAAATTATCAAATCAAGCAAATCGTTAAAGGTCAAGTAATACTGATATAATAATATTAACTTTGAATTTACAACTTGAAAAAGAAATAGTCACTTCTCTCACTTTCCCATTTTCTAGTCACCCCTCACCCCACAGAATTCTGACTTCTCTCCACTTCACCCTTAAACATACAACAAAGTACCTCCTAGTAGCTAAACTAAGTCAACTCTTTTAATTTAAAATTCATTTCCCTAGTGTCTGTAAAAAGTGTTTCTCTTGATTAATTCTTCTGGCTGTACCTGCTCTTTGAATATTTACATTTTTCAAAGTCTTATAGCCACTTTTTTCACACTGCATGTGTTCCACAGATAATCTCATCCATGTCTGCAATTTTTTATTGCCATCTACCAAACCTTTTCTCTTAGCTTCTACCCATATATCCATTTATAATCACTACCCATTTTTGAATGCCTGCCATGTACCAAGGACCATGATAAACACTTTAGATTTGTTTTCTCATTTAATCTTGACACTTCTTAAGTCTATTTTGCAGATGTGAACATTGAAGCCAAGATCACACAGCTAGTAAATAACAGTCTTGTTTCAGATTTACATCTTACTGCTTCTAATGACCATGTTCTTTCTCATCCATACTCATGTGTCCTAATTAAGTGGATCTATCAAAATGAAAGAAATTAAACCATGTTATAGGAACAAAAACACAGACTCAGAGACTATTAACACTAAACAAGATCATAAAGATTATAGGTGAGGAATTGAGCCTTCAAATAATTAACCTAAAGTTGTATAAGTAATTTGCCTCTGTTTAATGAAGAGTCACTTTTACTATGCCTTTTAATTGACAATTCTAGCTTTACAGTAGAGAAATAAAGAATACCATGATAGTCTTGGTATAAATTGTAAGCAAAACATTTTCAAATGTGACCAGTGGTAAGGTTGACCAAACCTTTCTAAACTCAATTAAGAATACTCAGTTGTAGAAAATGGCACAAAGGACTGTAAATGTAAAAAGTCACATTTAAAAATTGATTTTATCCATTTATAGTCATTTAATTTAAACAGAACTTTTGAAATATAGTCAATATTAGCATATATAATGCAGTTGACTGGAAAGTCATATTCACAGTATTTAATTTTTTTGGTGTTGTGTCCTCTAAAGTTGGGTGATCATTAGAATGAATTAGAATAAATTTACATCTGATATTTTAGGAGCATTTAAGATACTTCTTACCTCTGTTCTAAAAGGTAAAATGCTTTTGGTGATGAAGACAATTTTTTTTTGTTTTGCTTTTTTTCTCTTAAACAGTGTGTTTAAAAAGCTATCCTGGATTTGCCTGTCTATGGTGATACTCACTCATTCCTTGAAAACATTCCACAGAAATTGGGATTGGGAATCTGAATATACTTTGTTTATGTCAGCCTTGAAGGTAAAGTGTTGTTCAGAATGACGGGAAAGTATGTCATCAGTGATTTCTTGGAACAATTTCTAAGCTGTTTTAACTTTGTTTTTAATTAGACATTTAACAGTCAAGATTAAGTACTTCACTAAAAGATTAATGAAAATAATTTGTTGTTTAATATATGCCATAACCAAATGCTCTAAATAATACTTAGCTATATGCCCAAAGCATATATGATAATTCCCTAAATGCTATACAGTTATTGGAAGCTCAAATGACACGATGTTTAAATCAGAATAGTATATTTCATTGGTTCTAAAGGCGCTCATTTTTTTCCTTTTTTATATCTCTGAAATCAAGTAAGTCTTAGAGTGAAAAGCATCTTAAATTAGTGGCCTTTTTTCTTTCTTAATTGTACTTAAAATAATGGTGTGTTTTATAATTGATGGCATCAATTCAGTAAAATAAAATGCACAGCAAAAAAAAAGGGAAAAAAAAATGTACCCAACGATGTGGAAAATAACCAGTGGTTACAATACTATCAGAAAGATAAGCATTGGCAGAAAGGAAGGACACAAGATTGTCCTGTAGAATGTACCTTATAAATTGGAAAACGGTCTTTTAAAAAACAAAAATTTGTTTTCTTTAAAGGTTATCAGCAAAGATGTTTTCAAGCTCTCCCTTACCAGTACCCCTCTTCAGATACCTGAATTTTTACTTCCTTTGGACTATTTCTTAACTCTTTGTTGTTTAGCTTTATTGGATTGCTGCCTCATTCCAGTAGTCTGTGTGACTTCTTGATTCCACATCTACTTAAGATCAGATGACTCTCTTCTTATACAACTCAGTAGCTCTACTCTCTCTCCCAGCTCAGAAGTCTGCCAACAAGTGAGACCTCATTACCATGCTTATTAAACCATACTCCTAGGATACCAGTGGAGCCCCATAATTTTCCAGAATTTTGCTTATACTCACTCCCAGAACAGTGGTTGGAACCTATAGCCACAACTGCTGCAATTAGTTCCTTGGCTAGGTGTCATCTATCTGCAAGAACACCACGGCAATCTGTGAACTTTGAAAACACAGATTGACTCAGAGCTTTAATCTTAGGGTTTCCATTACCATAATGGACTACATAAATAACTTTAAATATGTCAAGTCTAAAAATAAGTCATCAGTGCAACATTTAAACATATTCTCATGTTCCAGTGCTTTTGCTCCTAAAAATACAAATGGTAGAGCAGAAGTTTTGAAACACCACTGTGCTTTCATCAAATAACATTTTCAGTAAAATGTTAATATATAACATGAATGAAATAAGACTGTTATGGTTTTAGTATGTTGGTGTTCAGGTGAAGGGAGAGTAAATTTGGTGAAGCAGTCTTTATTTGACTCCTGTGTCATCCCCAGAGACATTTCCATAGAACATTATTTTCTTAATAGTATACCAAAGAAATATTTGTATGAACTGGAGTCATATTTTTTTTAATTGTAACTTATTTCTATCTGTGCTTATATTTAAGGTAAATAAAAATAACGCCAAACTATGGAATAATGTGGGTCATGCTCTGGAAAATGAAAAGAACTTTGAGAGAGCTTTGAAATACTTCCTACAGGCTACCCATGTTCAACCAGGTAAAGCATTATTAACTAATAAATTCATGAATTTTATTTTTAAAAAAGTTTTGATTATCCTTGGGGGAAATAAGGTAGAGTTTATTTACTAGCTTTATTCTAAGTGACTTGAATACTAGAGTTCAGTGCTTGCTTATTTTGAATTGGATTACATATAATAGCCACTTAATATCAGACTGATACCTGTATTCAGTATCAGTATTCCCTGATAGTTCACACCTGTATTCCCAGCACTTTTGGAGGCTGACACAGGAGGGTCAGTTGAACCCAGGAGTTCATGACCAGCCTGGGCAACAAAGCAAGATCCTGTCTCTACAAAATAAAAATTAAAAAATTAGCCAGGCATGGTAGTGTGGGCATGTAATCTCGGCTACTTGGGAGGCTCAGGTAGGAGGATTCCTTGAGCCCAGGAGTTCAAGGCTACAGTGAGCTATGATCACATGATTATACCACTGCACTCCAGCCTGGGTGACAGAGTGAGACTCTGTCTCAAAACAAAAACATTTATGGGTTTTTTCTTAACATAGAGTTGTTGGGTGCCATGGATATGGATAAGCAATTTTGGTGGAATGATGGGTACAAAAGCCTGATGGTAGTGAGCTTAAGAGAGTGGTTAAAGAATAATTGGATACAGTTCATATAGAAAACTCTTTTGAAGGGTATTGATAAGAAATGGTGGCAGTGCTGGGTATGGGGTCAAGAAAGGATGGTAAGATAAGAGGGTTTTGGCTTTGTTTTTTAAGCCAGTTTGGGCCAGAAACAGTGGCTCAAGTCTGTAATCCCAGCACTTTGGGAGGCCACGGTGGGCAGATCACTTGAGGTCAGGAGTTTGAGACCAGCTTGGGCAACATGGTAAAACCTCATCTCTACTAAAAATACACAAATTAGCCAGGCACTGTGGCGACTGCCTGTAATCCCAGCTACTTGGGTGACTGAGGCACAAGAATTGCTGGAGCCTGGGAGGCAGAGGTTGCAGCGAGCCAAGGTCGCACCACTGCACTCCAGTCTCGGTGACAGAGTGACACTCTGTCTCAAAAAGAAAAAAAAAAAGTTGGTATGGTTACATGTTTTTCTCTTGCAACTTTTTAGCTATAATAGTGATGGCATACACATGGAAAATTCTGTTCCATAGGATTAAAGTTTTGTCAGTTGTGTATTACTAATCAAGAAAGGGTTTAAGGAGTGAATAAATGATGAACCACCAAATCTAAGCTGGTTAAGAAGGGATGCGAGAGAGGATGAAGGATGGAGGAAAGGTAACAAGATCAGTGGATCTGAGGAATTGTTGATATCTGAGTAGGATGTAGCTAGAGCAGCAGTATTTTTCGATAGGAGTGCTATTGGCATTTTTAGTGTAGAACTGTATTACAGGAGGTGTACCAGACATGGCCCCCATCCACCAAATGCCATCATTATTTTCCATTCAGAGTGATGACCAAAAAGAAACCTCCATGCATTACTAAATATCCTTGAAGGGGTGCAGCATGTCGGACACTATTGTTTTCTTCTAGTAAGTACAACTATGACCATTGCACTAACTAGCTAAGGTAGAAAGGAGGTGAAAATCGTTTGGAAAAAAAGGTCATCAAGACCACAGTATTCAAAGATTAATATCTATATGGATTATGAAATCACTAAATCATTAAGAATTTTGACAAATGTAATGTTAGAGAAAGCAACAGGGAGCCAGAGTCTGTGATCCAGGAATTGGTGACTACAACACTAATAGGAATAGTAGATAATAGAGTTAAGTTACAATCAGAGATGAGTATGGTAAAAGGAGAGAGAATTGTCCAAAAATGGCAACATGGATCAAGGAAGAAGGTATCTGTTTTTCCCCCAGGCCCAGTGTCACAAAGGATAGAAAAGAACATGGTCACCACTTGAAAGGGCTAAAGGTAACCATGTCTCCAAAACAAAGCTAAGTTTCAATTAGAGAAAGGTGAAGAAAAAGTTGTGAAAATATAACTGATGGTCTAGCCTATCAGTTTTATCTCCTTTAGGCCTTCATATAGTTTAGTTTTTCTTGGAATATGGGATTAATGTCCTGTACTTCCTTACTTCTTTGCCTTTATTTTCTTCCTTGAGATTAGAATTTCTCCCTTCTCCCTTTCTTCCCATTTTCCAGTGACTTCTAAAACTCTTCCTATCTTTCCAGCTATAAGCAAATAGTTTTCATCTGTAAAACCCCTTAACTTCCTCTGTATCTTTCCTATATTTGTAATTTTCTATTTAGTGCTATATTTTATTTTAAATACAAATTTATTTAAAATATTTGTTTAAACTGTGGAGCTTCCTTGGGGTAGCAGGAATATCTGATTGATTTTTGTACCCCTGCGTCATCAAGTAGGGTCCTATGCGCAGTCAGCAGTCACTAAATATTTTAATTCATTACTTTCTTAAGTCTTGAGATGTACAATGCATGGATTAATTAGATTCTAGGAGTTTTTAGAGAAGCAGCCATCTTTGATTATCAGGCACACAAGGGCTTTGAGACTGAGATGCTACTTAGGCCTCTCAGACTCTTCTTGCTTGTTTCTAAAATGGGATCTATTTTAGAAATCTGTCTCACAGCGTTGTTGTAAATACTAAGTTAAGTGTGTGGGGAGTGTGTGTACACATTCAGTTTTGTCTAGTGACTAGTGTGCCTATCACAGGATGTTGCTGATATGGACACTCAGTTTTTAAATGATTTTCCCGCTCATTGTCAATTGTCACTAATTGCTGTTTTTAAGATATTTGTTGAACCTTTCTTCTTCAGTTTGACTTCACTATCACACTTTCAGAATTGCTGTTTCTACTCTACCTTATATAAGCCATGGGATAGGAAAACAAGTAAACCAGTTCATTATAATGTGTTATGAATAAAGCATTTAAACTTAGAAACATTGAATGTGGCATCTAGAGGTTTCTTGGCTTATTCCATGTTTTTTTAAGCTGTATTCTTCCTAGATGGGTTTGACAGATGAAATGACATGTTATTTTACTATATGTTTAGAGTTAGATAGTTTAGATGGGGCAAGACAGTAACCAGGATAAGGTTAAAAGGGACAACTAGTATGATGGTTAGTTAAAAGTTTTGACTCTGGCATCAGACCTTTTCTCAAATTTAGTTCAGTCACTCTAAGTTTTCTATCTACAAATTTGAAGTAATAATATCTCCATTCTTTTGTATGGATTATGTTAAATACTGGTTATATAAGACTTGGGCCAGTTTCTAGGCAATAATGTATATTCAGTAAATATGAGCTGGTAAATATTAATGGCATTATTTTCACTGGAGCCAGGAAAGGAGGTTGCCAAGTGTGTCCTACAGACTCTGGCTGAGTGACAGATGAAAGAGGTATGCTGACACAGGTATTTTGCCTGACAGTGCAGCTGGGAGACCTCACAGCTCAGCACCACCAATGAGAGAGTGCGGCAGCCATCGAGAGAGTGCACCCCCCATAAGCCGGCCCTGGTCACGTTTATTTAATACAGATTTAATGATAAAGGCTTGGAGCAAACACAGTTTGTATGTAATAAACATTGTCAATCCCCTGAGTAGAGAGCAGTCCTGTGCGCAAGTGGTCAAAGATTGGTTTCTGGAGACAGGAGTAAACAAATTTATCTAGATAAGTTCCTTCACATTCTCTTGTAATCTACCCTTTGCTCTCAGGCTCTGGATAAGAGAATCTGGCTGCCTTCAGCCATAATTCCCTTCTGAAGCTTTTGCAAAACCTCCCGACCTTCCAAAAAGGTTTGCATCTTTCCCAGCTTTTCCCACCACCCTGACCGAATTCCTACATCTCCCCTTTTCTGTTTTTTGCATCAAGTTTTGTTGATTGAAGAGTACAGATGTGTGCAGCAACAGGTTTGTCAGGCGCAGCAGTTATAACTCATATTCCAGCTTTGCATCCTAGAATTAGTAAATAACATAAGACAAGCATAAATATAATTAGTAATATTCTTTTCCAATTAAGGAGTGGCATGTAGTGTTACTTGGCAGCTCAGTCCAATGTGTGTCGTTACTAAGGAACCCCACTGGGGGTATGTTAATCCCTCCTAGCCAAGCAGTTACATTATTAGAGGCCGGGAAGGGGGTGTCTGCCCAGGTAACAGGGTAAAAGAAAGACGGATTTAGAAGATAGGCCTAATAGAGAGTAGCAGGTACAGATAGCAGGCAAAGTGAGAGAATAAGAAAAACCAATGTCCTACGAGAGTTGTAATGTACAACAGAAAGCATAGTAAGGAACAAATTATCTGGAGTGAATGGTGTCTGTGTCCAGAACAGGATTCACTCAGCCTCCTGAATTGTCTTCGTCAGCATCCCCCAGGTAATGTCTGGGGCTTGTGTCATTCGAGAAAGCCGCATCCTCTGGGACTGCTGGTCCTGCAAGGTCATTTCCTTCATTTCTGATACCAGGTTGGGTCCTAGCGACACCATAGTATGGTTTGATGTGTCATGCTGGAATCCATAGAGGACCTGAGGGGTTGTGAATACAAGCATATCCTCTTCCCCATGTTAAATCATTTGGACCACACCATACATGACCATAGGTTTTATGTTTTGAAGGGCTTTAGTGAAATGCTTTTCTATGGCTGATTGAAATTTATCATCTAAATTTTAAAAATTAAGGGTAAATAAGGCTTACACCAATAGTGTTGCAGGATCTTTACTCATATTCTCCCCTTTTTTTTTTTTTTTGAGCTTATTTTTAAAGGTAGAGTGGACACATTCTACTATGGCCTGTCCTTGAGGGTTATAAGGGATACCTATGGAATGTTGGATGTTCCACGTGTGACAAAATTGTTGACTTTGTGAGCTGGCATAAGCCAGACCATTATCAGTTTTAATTTTTGTGGGCCACCCCATAAACACAAAAATTAAGAGAAAATGTTTAATAACATATTGGGAGGACTCTTCAGGAAAAGCATGTGTGCTAATTAGGTGAGAATTGGTATAAGTGGATACATGTGTATCTGAGTTTTCCAAATTCAAGGACGTGAATAACATTTGT